ACAACTTCCTTCGGTCAGGCAAACAAGGTCACTCAGACTCAGCCAGGCAAATACGGCCAGTCGGTCAAGCACATAAGGCCAATCGGTCATCCGTCAGGCAAGTAAGATCAATCGGTCGGTGAGGCGAATAAGTGGTCAATCCTCTTAAGGACCTTCCCTGTCGCCTCCTATAAGGGCCTCCTCTAGGGGCTTCCTCTAAGGGCGTCTTGGCTTCATGTGCTGTTCCTTCACATCAAAAAAACTGTGCACGTACCTGGTCATATGGGACCAATGGATGCGTAGTCTTTCAAGTGATGTCTATCTCTTATACAGCTATGGACTTGAGATGCTGATCTCACACCCTAAACCCGTAAACCCGAAACCCCTAAACCTCGAATTCCCGAAACCCCGAACCCCTAAACCCCTAAACCCCTAAACCCCTCAACCCCTCAACCCCTAAACCCCTAAACCCCCTAAACCCTAAACCCCTAACCCCTAAGCCCTAAACCCCTAAACCCCTAAACTCTAAATGCCTAAACCCTAAACCCAAACCCCAAACCGTAAACTGGTTTGGAGAGGAGGCACACGCCAGCACTCTAAATGCCTAAACCCCAAACCCCAAACCCTGTACCGGAACTCCCCCCCCCCCCTCCCACTACCCCGCCTTTGTGTAGGACGTTGAGCCCAGGAGGATTTCAGGTGCCCGGTACCTGGTGGCTATTTTGGGATGTAGCAATAGGAGCCTGTGCAACTCGAACAGGCATCTTAGGTAGTTTATACTATCTATATATATACGGATGATAATATAATGTAGCTACAGGAACCTACTCAAGCAGAATAGGTATTTTAGGCAGTTTATACTTAAGTTTATACTATGTGTGTGTATATATATATTGGATATATGGACAATATTTTGCAGATGTCTAATATTGGTGATTATTGAGGCTCCTGCTACATTTTGGGCGTCACGCTGCTATGGTCAAAGCAGCCTAGCGGCTTGGATGTTGGGGCTGGTATAAACTAAGGAGTGCTTTGGGTGCAGGGAGACGGAGAGGGAGAGGGAGAGAGAGAGAGAGAGCAAGCGACGCAAGAGACATGATCTAGGTCAACCTTCATGTACGAGGTACACCGCGCCGGTGCAGTATGGGTTTAGTGTGTAGGATTCACGGTGCCTGCAGAGCAGCCCCGTAATCTGTATACCTTTCCTTTGAATTAAACCCTACAAAGCCCTAAACCCGAAATCCAAAACCGGCAAAAGTCCTAAAGACCTCCAGGGTTGTCCTCATTTTTTCTGCAGGCTTGTGATCCATGGGCCTTTTTCAAACTCGCAGCCGGAACTCTGTGCCTGAAACTGGGTTTAAGGTTTAGGCTTTGGGGTTTAGGGTTTCAGGGTCTGCGGGTTCAAGGTTTCAGGGCTTTACTTTTTTAGGTTTAGGGCTAACCCAAAAACCCTGAGCCCCAAACCCAGTGCGCAAACTTTCTAAGACGACCATGCGGGGGTGTTTTAGATAAAGGACCCTTTGGGCCCCGTTTAGAACCCTGAACCCTAAACCCTAAACCCGAAAACCCCTAAACGACCTCTGCATGGAGCTGGTGACAACACAGATCCTGCATGACATCTCTTCTGGCCCTGAACCCTAAACCCTAAACCCTAAACCCTAAACCCTAAACCCTTACGCTCGAAACTCCACACAAAAGTCATCAAGGAACTGCTAGGTAGCCTGACATGGGGGATTCCGAAATTCGGGGCACCTTACTGGGGTCCCTAATTCTAAGGGAATCCTACTCCTTGGGGGTAACTTTTCGGGGCCCCCTCATTTTCGTATAGGGCTTAGGGCTTAGGGCTTAGGGTTTAGGGTTTAGGGTTTCGGGTTTAGGGTTTAGGGTTTAGGGTTTAGGGTTTAGGGTTTAGGGGAATCCTACGGTTTTTTTTCTTGTTTTTTGCTTGGGGGGGGGGGGGGGTATTAGAGGGCTCCCTTATTTTCATAAACATCCAAATTGCTGCACCTAGAAGCCTAAACCCTTTAAGGCTTAAAAATCTAGGTCCCGTAAAACCTCACTTCAGAACCCTAAACCCTTACTTCAGAACCCTTGAAGACTCAACCTCTTCATGCAGGATTTCTGCATCATCACTCACACGACTCACTCCAAGCATTTCTCCGCGTGGCAGTCTTCACAAAGGTCATAGCCTGCAGAGACTTCTTGGTTTAGGCTATAGGGTTTAGGGTTCAGGGTTCAGGGTTCAGGGTTCAGGGTTCAGGGTTCAGGGTTTAGGGTTTAGGGTTTAGGGTTTAGGGTTTAGGGTTTAGGGTTTAGGGTTGCACGGTCCCTGAACATGGACCCCGTATACAGCCCTTGTATACCCTATACAACCCAAGGGCGCATACATCAGAACCCTTTTGAAGGGACTCCAGGCATTCCTAAACCCTAAACCCTAAACCCTAAACCCTAAATCCTAAACCCGAAACCCTAAACCCCAAAACCCTTGATACTTGCTTCTCCCCAATCTGTCGGCGTATCAGTCTGCAGGGCCTTTGTCTGGGGAACATCGCCTCGAGTGTAGGGTTTAGGGTGTAGGCTAGCGTTTAGGGTTTAGGGTTTACGCTTCAGGGTTTAGGGTTTAGGTGTTTAGGCGTTTGGGGTTTAGGGTTTAGGGTCTGCCGGTTCAGGATTTCGGGTTTGTCGCTTTGGGGTACGCGCCTATCATGAATAAATTTGAACAAATAAATAAATATACATACATATATCTAGTTGTGTATATATAAATGTACATGCATATTTATGTTTGAATATTTGTACATATGAATATACTAGGGCCCAGTGGGGGCCTATTTTGGCAGTGTGTTAAGTGGGTGGGGAGTGAAGAGTCTGGGCTGCCAACCACACAGGCCACACCACCAGATGTGCTCACCTGGCAAAGAAGGGCTTATGGTTTAGGGGTTTAGGGTTTAGGGTTTAGGATTTGAGGGTTTAGGGGTTTAGGGGTTTCGGGTTTAGGGTTTAGGGTTTCGGGTTTAGGGTTTGGGGTTTAGAGTTTGGGGCTTAGGGCTTCAAAATTTTTTGGGTGCCATGCATGTTACGCACGGGCCCCACCAACATAACTGCTGTGGGATCAGGTGCGGCCCTCCTTCCAATCTCACAGGAAGTCGTGATCGATGTGGGTATTTCCCAAAATAGGGCTAGCGGCTACCCCTTTTATACCCCAGATAGAAAAGAATCCCCTCAAAGGGACCCCCCAAAAAGGGTACTCCTATTCTCGGAAACCCAGAACAAATCCACCCGATGCTGAACATCACTCATACCACACCACGATGCTGCAAGGACTGCGAATACAGATGCTGTCTATTGCCAGGGGATAGGATTCGGGGGACCTTCGGGGATGCAGACCCTCTGAATAAGGTCCCTGTTTAAGAGAGCCAGGAGAGGGTGACGAAGGGTTCCCTTTTAAGGGCCCCTCTTTATACCCAGGAATGGCGACATTTCGTAATGGCAAAACATCATTACGACGTTCTTCTGTTCAATTAGGCTGCTGTATTTTGCTGGAGGCCAAAGCTAGTTAATTCGCTGCGATACCACCTGAAACTCACACGCAAGAATGCGTCGATACCTTCCAGCTACGGACGGATGCAAGGATGTCATCACAAACAGGAAACGACTCGTAGTCCCCATGTCCACTCAGCTAGTGTCACTGCTGCCAAAGACTGTATCTCTTAGCTGCTGAAGTCCCGAAAAAGTGTATACTTTCAGTTCTATAGGGGATTCTAATATCCCAAAAAGTGTAAAGTGTGCTCACTCAGCTACTAAGATTTGCATCATCTGAACTACAGCTTCCAACTTGGCTGGCCTCCGTTCATGTCCTTGCCACATTTGTCGCATTCCTTGCTCGCACGCAGGGCCCCAAGCCCTCTGAACGCTAACCCCAAAAGCCCACAACCCAGAACCCCCAAACCCTAAAGCCCTAACCCCCACTGCCTTGCAAGAAGCAAATGCGCGAATGAAACAGACAGACTTTGTTTCTTGCTTTTGAGGTTCTGTGGACTCAGAAGCAATCGGCAGAAACAGACCACTAGACATCCTAGATACAAGTTGCTCGAAAAAATCAAGTACAACTCCCAAAGACGATGTACTCTCTCTCTATACGCAAAAAAAAAAAAATATATATATATATATATATAAAGAGAGAGAGAGAGAAACAAAAAACAAAGAGAGAGAATCTTGGCAGCCCAGATACCATATTACAACAAGGGCACCTTTCTTTGGGCTGGTTGCTTTGTAAAGGAACCTTGAAACAGAAGAAAAGGGCACCAGTGGGCTACCAACAAATAGGCGCGCCTACTTCAAGGCACTCGAGGTAGGCTGCCCGTCATTTCCCAAACCCACCCGAACCCCACTCGAGGCAGGCTGCCCGTCATTTCCCAAACCCAGCCTAACCCGAAATCCCAAAAGCGAAACCCCAAGCCCTGCGTGGCTCAAAGTCAATACCCAAAACCCCAAAAAGCCACAACCCTCAACCCGAAGCCCTCAACCAGAAACCCGAATGAATTGGCAGGCCCGGGCTCCATGTCATAAGGTGCCGCTTCAAAGCCTCGGGTTTAGCGTTTCGGGTTTAGGGTTTAGGGTTGAAGATGATTTAGGGCTGTCGGGTTTTAGGGTTCGGGTTTAGGGCTTAGGGTTGAAGATGATTTAGGGTTGTCGGATTTTAGGGTTTCGGGTTTAGGGCTTAGGGTTGAAGATGATTTAGGGTTGTCGGGTTTCGGGTTTAGGGTATTAGGGTTGAACCTCCTTGTCTCCTCTCAACTCGGCAGATGCTTTGCGAAGGACCTTCCGACAGAAAAAATGGGTGCATTGAGGGACGTCTTCGGCCGGAAAGGCTTCTCGTTGATCTCTTCTCCTTTTCCAGGCTGTCAAGGCGCACAGACCACTCAGCCTCCAAGACTGTTCATGGGGAGACTTTACATCTTTTCTTGCCACCGAACTTAAAAATTCGGAAAATGTTGCCACCGAACGTAAAAGTTTGCCTTCTAAGAGAATGGTGGCGGTTGCGTTGGGGGGACGCCTTCGGCCAGAGGGCCTTCTGATCGTTTCCTCTTACCGCCCAATTTGTGCGCGGGCTGCACGGCAAAAATCTTGCCACCAAAAACGTGCCGTGTGGAGGAGCAACATAGGAATAAGAAAGGGAATCCTTTTTGGTTTAAAGGGGAGAAAAAGGGAGCCTCATAGCCTAAGCCCCAAAAGAAGACGAATAAGGGCCTGCACTGGGTCCTAGACTTCGGGCTTAAGGGTCTATAATTTGAGGACACATAAACCTGACGTCTGTCATTCAGGCTCGCGCGGAGAGCATGTCGACGCGGACAGAAGACGGTGGCTACCTCCCCAAGCGGTCGGATTGAGGCACTTCCACGCTACGGAAGATCCCGGAGCCCACGTTGGATACCTACTTGCGGTTGCAGTTGAGAGACTAGGGCCTCAACTTCCACCTGACAGCACCCTTGGCAAAAGGCAAGTGTGGCTCCCGGCTGTTGGCTGCAGAAAGGCTTGAAGCCGCAAACCCAAACCTCGGCAACCAAAAGAAGAGACAATCACTGATGAGCCGCCTGAAACCTTAAAAGGAAATTCGATCCCACTTGGGGCCTAAACCCGACACCCTAAACCCTAAACCCTAAACCCGATAAACCCCTGAACCCCATGCCCCGGAAGCCTCCTCCTCCATGGCAGGCACCGGGGCCGGCGGCTGAGGAGGCTCGCAGTAAAGAGGCGCGGACCCTGCTGCATGGTCTGTTTTGGGTTTCGGGTTGAGGGTTTAGGGTGTATCGGGACTCTAGTGTCTATGGAGCTATCCGAAGTGCGTATGTATGTAAAGATGACCATGTGTATATGCGGATATGCATATGTGTGTATATGTGTATATGTATATATGTAGATGCATCTTTCCATACGTGTGTGTGTGTGTGTGCAGCGGTAAAATGGTGTGTATAGACATATCTTTTCGGGCAGCAGAACAGGCATAGGGGTCTCGCAGGGCTCAAGGCTTACCCTAAGCCCTAAATAAAATCTCAACCCTAAACCCTAAGCCCTAAACCCCTACACCCTAAACCCTAAACCTAAACCTTTGTCAGGGTCGTGGGGCTGAAGGCTTCCGAGGTCTCTGCCTTGTTGTTGCAAGCACTTAGGCCGCGAAGGGCTTTTGTGCGGACCAGATGGCCAAATTCCCAGAAGTATGGTCCCTGTCGGGACCCTAAACATTGGGGGCCACCTTTTCATCGTGAGCCCCAAAAGGGACCGTAATTTAGAGAAGTGACCGTATGCTTTAGCTTTCAGGGCTCAGCGTTGATGAATTATTTGGGATCTCGGGCCATCCGAAAATCCTGCCGGTGCTTGACGAAGATCTCGTCTCCTTGCCGATGGCATAGACGGGTTTTAGGGTTTAGGGTTTATTTAGGGTCTACCCTAAACCCTGAATCCTCTGGGGACTCTACAGGCTTTGCTATACCTGGCGTAGTTCCCGACAAAGTGCAAAACACAAACAAACTACAAGTGAGATGAAGTCCCTAGCGCGGGAAACCCCGAGCCCTGAAGCCCTAGACCCTACTTAAAACTCTAAAACCCTCAAACCCTCAAACCCTAACACCCTAAAACCCTAAGCCCTAAAGCTTTGAAGCTTTGAACCCTCACACTCCCAGCCTTTCTGGAAGTCGTCGTCCTCCATCTTCTCTTCGACTTCAGCTTGCCTCTTGTGGAACCCCACTCTGCACCCCCGTCCACCGCCCCCCCCCCCAAGACTCCCCACCCCATGACCCAACTTGGAGACATATTGGTGCTGTCGGACGCTGTGTATGGCATATATGGGTCCAAGGCGATCGATTTTGTTGAACGAACCACCACGTGCCAGGTCCATGTGCCAATGAAGTTTAAGCCTTCGGGTGGAGAAAGTCTCGGGCTTGCAATAAACTCTTAGATGAAGAGATAGACTGGTACGTACATGCATACTAAACGCTTCTGAGTCTCTGAGCGCACCCCCTGTAGCCACAAGAATGCCCAACTGATGGTCACCCCAAGAACCCCAATGGTTCTCCTGCAAACAACGCCGACAGCCACCACCATGGACGCCAGCTTCCTGTTTAGGGTTTAGGGTTTAGGTTTAGGGTTTAGGGTTTAGGGTTTGGGGTTTAGGGTTTAGGGTTTCCCTGCCTTGCAGATGGGCCGCCGCGCTTCCAAGTAAACTTGGATCGGGAGTTGACCTGCCCGATGCCCTATATAGGGTTTAGGGTTTAGGGTTTAGGGTTTAGGGTTTAGGGTTTAGGGTTTAGGGTTTAGGGTTTAGGGTTTAGGGTTTAGATTAGCTAGCTTTATTGACCCCCGCACCGCCACAGCACCCTCCACGTTCTCTCTCTGAAAACCCTGAACCCTGAACCCTGAACCCTGAACCCTGAACCCTGAACCCTACAGCCTAAACCCTAAACCCTAAACCCTAAACCCTAAACCCTAAACCCTAAACCCTAAACCCTAAACCCTAAACCCTAAACCCTAAACCCTAAACCCTAAACCCTAAACCCTACCACGGGGCCGAGCCTCTCTGGGCTCCGCCTTGAGGGGCTCCGCGGACTCCCCAAGCAGGAAGCCTGTCTTGAGACCTGTTAGACTTAGGGTGTAGGGTTTTCACAAGGGTTTAGGGTGACCTGTTAGAGCTAGGGTTTAGGGTTTAGGGTTTAGGGTTTAGGGTTTAGGGTTTAGGGTTTAGGGTTTAGGGTTTAGGGTTTATAGGGTTTAGGGTTTATAGGGTTTAGGGTTTAAGGGGCTTAGGGGTTGAGGGTGTTTAGGATTTACAGGGGGTTTAGGGCTAGGGTTTAGGTGGATTTAGGGTTTCGGGCCCCCAAGCGTCGAGTCGCATCCCTAAATCCTGAGCTGCCCAAGGCCCCTAAACCCTGAACCCTAAACCCTAAACCCTAAACCCTAAACCCTGAACCCTGAACCCTAAACCCTAAACCCTAAACCCTAAACCCTAAACCCCAGAACCCCAAACTCTGAGCATGTTCGCAGTCAAAGGCAGCTCAGGGGCCTCCCAAAGTCTCCGTGTCCTCTCGGTTTAGGGTTTAGGGTTTAGGGTTTAGGGTTTAGGGTTCAGGGTTTAGGGTTTGGGGTTTGGGGTTTAGGGTTTAGGGTTTGGGGTTTTGGGTTGGGGTTCACAGACACTTTCTCCAGAAGTCGCACTTGGTTTCACGGCTTTGGGTTCAGGAGGTTGTGCAAGGAACAGTTCTTTCAGAAACGGTTCTCGACAACAATGACATATGAAAATATGTGTGTAACGAAACATACACACACACGTTCAGCTAATGTGCAATTCTGTGTATTGTGTTGTTTAATATGCATGTATGTCTTGGTAATTCCCAACTCCCAACAAAAGAACAGAAACTCAATAAGGGTTCCCCTAAACCCTGAACCCTAAACCCTAAACCCTAAAACCCTAAACCCTAAACCCTAGACCCTAAACCCTAAACCCTAAACCCCAAACCCTACACAGACCCGACACCCCAGATCCACAATCACTTCAAGGTGCACTGAAGGGGGGGGGATATCGGTCGAAGGGAGAGCTGCAGGTGTGCGGAAGCAAGTGCTCCGTACTAAGCCCCGCCTTAAACTAGGACTATACTTCCCGCCCCTAAACTCTAAAATGTCCTTCGTCTCTTCCTTGATGTCAGAGACGTCTTCGTGCGAGAAGACCCTCGGAATTCGGCTCATGGATGGTGCTCCTAAAATGCCATGTACGGTTCAAAGCTTTACAACAGGTGTGTAGCTAACCCCTAAACCCTAAATCCTAAACCCTAAACCCTAAACCCCTTGGGAGAAGCTCCCAGGGAGCCAGTCACTATCAACGCCACGCCACTGCTGCGGCTGCAGCGCTCGCCGGGAGAAGGCTCCCTTGCCGGGCTTCGTGGGCCTGTGAGTTTAGGGCCATAAGGGATTAGGATTAAGATTTGAGGTCTGTTCGCCAACATCCCCAAATAGGAGGATTCCTTTATCAAAAGGACCCCAATACGGGTATCCCCAATTTCAGAAACCCTACACACTAAACCCTAGACCCTAACATCATTTCGGACACCCCCATATGATTCCCCCATTTAGGCTTCGTGAACCCAAAAAGGGGACTATGGTCCGGAAAAGGGGTGAGGGCTCATGATTGGCCTCCACACATCACCAAGGGTTTAAGTCCGTAGGACTGTTAGTATATGGGGGGAACATCCTAAGCGGAAACCCTTCAGGATGTTCCGGAAACTCAAGGTTGAGGGTTGAGGGTGTTGGGTTGAACTTCGTCGTTGAGGCGAACAGAAGCGAGCGTGCAAGGAGCGGGCAGGCCTTAATTTTGGACTCCGGAGGCGCAGCCGATTTTGGGGTTTAGGCCCCGAAGCTTCCCCTGGAAGGCTTTCTGAGGCACCTGGAATGAGGTCCCTCGAACTGCCCCTGCCGTGGGAGGTCCCCAAAAAACCATGCCTTTGCAGGTCCCTCTGCGGCGTCCGCGGCCACGGCTACATATGGTGGCTCCAACATTTTTCCAGCAGACCGTTCCCCAAACTTTGGAAGAGTGAGGAGAGCAGCCGAACAAATACATGAAAACCCTAAACCAGACCAATGTCATAGATTAGGTGGTTGGGAGGGAGCATGAGCCTTGGCGCACAGCGCTTAAGACACGCGGTGGTGTGCGCGGAGCATGTGACACACCCCAAGCCATAAACAGATGTGCGACCTCAATGCACCTGAATCCCCCGAAACACCCTGCCTCACGTCTGACGGGGTCAGGGCTCGGTAAGCCCTAAACCCTAAACCCTAGACCCCAGGTTTGACTTTTGGTTTGGGCATCGGGGTTTAACGAGGTGGCCTGTGAGTACAAGGGCTTGGGGCGTAGTGGGGCTTATGTTTTGCTTGGATTTGGGGCTTAGGGTTGAGGGTTTAGGCTATATGTGGACCCGGACGAACACCCCAAATAATCTCGAACCACAATACATCTTTAACCCCTGGAAGCTAAACCCTAAATCCTAAACCCTAAACGCTTGGGGTTTAGGCTTCAGGGCTCCTTCCCCAAACTCCCCTGGGGTCCGGGCGCACGCTGTGGCGTCGGAGGCTGATTCTCCTCTGCCTGGAAATTACCCTAAGCCCTCAGTCCCAAACCCTTAACCCTTAACCCTTTACCCTAAAACCTGGCGGCCAAGAAGATCCCAATCTAAAAGACATTTAAACTACTTTAGCTTCATCCTGCGCTTAAAATCCTACCGAGATTGAAGCTCAGAAAGAATGCTCAAGAATCCCAACTAGGATAAAAACAAAACACTTTAGCAAGGGGGTGTCTTGCAAGGCAGGGAAACCCTAAACCCTAAACCCTACACCCTACACCCTAACCCCTACACCCTAACCCCTAAACCCTAAACCCTAAACCCTAAACCCTAAACCCTAAACCCTAAACCCTAAACCCTAAACCCTAAACCCTAAACCCCTCATAGGGTTTAGGTCCTCTTTGGAAGGGTTGAGGGGTCAGGGGCCAAGGGACCCCCGTTGCCTTCAAGCCCTGAGCTCCGAAGAGGAGATAAAAATTGTCCATCTTCTGATGGCTTCAGGGGGCTTCGGGTTTGGGGCTTCGGGTTTAGGCTTTAGGGTTTAGGGTTTAGGGTTTAGGGTTTAGGGTTTAGGACTTAGGACTTAGGGCGTCGGGAGGGGGGGGGGATCGCCGGGTCCTCTATTGTGAAGGCTTCTGCAAGTTCGGCTTGGGATTTCGGGCTTCGGGTTCGGGGTCGAAATCCTTGCACCCCCCGCCGCTAGAAACACACGAAACCCTACGTTCAAAAAGCTTTTTAAGGTTTAGGGTTTAGGGTTTAGAGTTTAGGAACCCCTAAACCCTAAAGGGCTTAGGGGGAGGGTTCAGGGTGTAGTTATTCAGCGCCTCTGGCTCCACATGCTCCACGCGCGGCCCTCGTCGTAAGGCGCGAAGAGACACCTGAAACAAGGGTTTAGGGTTTAGGGTTTAGGGTTTAGGGTTTAGGGTTTAGGGTTTAGGGTTTAGGGTTTAGGGTTTAGGGTTTAGGGTTTAGGGTTTAGGGTTTAGGGTTTAGGGTTTAGGGTTTCGGGTAGACTTTAGTTTCGGGACGGTGGGCGGAGGCGCTGGGGAAGCGGGGGAGGGGGCGAAGGGAAAACGGCCTTTTTTGGGTGGGGGCCGCAATTCTCTTAAATATACATGAATAAGAATTTGAGTATCACAACTTGCAAATACATGTATGTTCTCAAAAATAAGACGGCCCCTACCCGCAAAGGGGCCATATTGATGAGAATTGACTATTATATATATATATATGTATGTATATACATACTCGAGTTTTTTGAGTACAATCAGGACCATTGTTTGGGACATTCTGCGTTTGGGGTGTTGGAATTGCAGCGCCAGGGTCTTTGGCGAGGGTGGCAGAGATGGGCGCTGTTTTGGGGAGACCTAAACCCTAAACCCTAAACTCTTCAGACTCTATCTCGGACCGCTACGGTTGCACCCTAGGAGACCCTAGCTTCTGAAAGATCCTGTAAGTGAATATAAGGGCCATATTCGGAGTACATGAGGGAACCTCTTAGGGGGACGCATTTGGGGGAACGAAGTTTGACTCCCTTGACAAGCCCCAAACAACCCGGAACTCCAAAATTTTGGGTCTTTGACTCTCAATTCGGATCCGTGTTGTAAGACACCCCATTGATTTAGGATAGAAACCTAAACCCTAAACCCTATACACACTTCCTAAACCCTAAACCATAGGTGATGAACAAAGGCAAGCCATCCACTCTCTCAACGCCCCAACAAGCCTGAAGACCCCCAACCCCATACATCCAGACCTCAACTACTACTTGCCTATAAGAAACACCAAAAAACGAGAAGATATTCTTCCGCACAAGGGCAATACAGGGACTACTGTTCTTTTTGGGGGAAGGTTCTTCAGCAACTAGATGTCAAACTCTGGGCCCAGAACCTTGTCATATAGACCCAAGTCCACGCCGCAAATCTTGAACCCTGGCCTAAATCTCGAAACCCTACAGACCCCCCACTTTATAGGTTCTTAAGGGAAGGGGGGGTCATGTGGGGGGCAGGTACCTAGGGAACCTTAGGGAAGCTTAGGGAGCCTTAGGGAGTAGTGGGGGGTATTAGGGAAGCTTGGGTTACCCCCCTTGAGCCCCCCTCCCTTAAGAACCCTACATTCCCCCGCACTCCAAGCCTCGGCAAACATGCGGAGGCCTTTCCTCCCCAAGCCTTCCAACAACGGAAGGAGTTCAGGCTTTAGGGCTCTAAACCCTAAACCCTAAACCCTAAACCCTAAACCCTAAACCCCAAACCCTAAACCCTAAACCCTATACCCCAAATGCAGGGCTTATGAGCTCCAGGATGCAAGGCTCGGGCTTGGCTGAGGGGCGGTTGCGGGGGGCGGGGGTTGGGGCAGCAAGTGGGGCCCTAAACCCTAAACCCTAAACCCTAAACCCTAAACCCTAAACCCTAAACCCTAAATGTAACCCTAAACTCTCAAACCTGAAACCCTAGACCCTAAACCCGAAACCCTAAACCCTAGCCCTAAACCCTAAATCCTCAGCAGTCTTTTGCCAACCACAACGTTTGCAAATACCGTGTTTAGGGTTCAGGGTTCAGGGTTTAGGATTTAGGGTTTAGGGCTAGCGTCAGCGTTTCCTCTAGGAGTTGAGTTGACTTGATGTTCGAGTCCACGCCGAACTGGAGCTGAGTTGCGGATGCATCTCACGAACCACCGAGGGCCGATGCATGCAGACTCCAGACTTTGACGTACGAAGTCGCAACCAAAACCTCGACGTAAGCTTGCAAGACTTGGACGACTAAACCCTAAACCCTAAACCCTTTGTGGGTTCACGCCATGCAGCCTGCTGACACTGTTCGGCATGTCAGTCACCCAGCTCTTGGGCAGATGTGCCCCTCTGCCAAACAGTGGGCTCTTTGTGCGCCCAAAGCTCGGAAAGTGTCTGTGCTGAACGTCACAGCCGTATCCGTCGCAAAGGGGGACTACGCCGGCTGCTACTGCACCGCATCCTACACGGTCACGCGCCCGGGCATGGTGATGGTCTTCTGTACCAGCTCTGTTCGAGCCTTCGGCGGCGACCCATCGTAACTAAAGAGCAATGCCCAAAATCTTCGATAACTTTCGAGGATGCGCCCTGTGCCATTGGGGAGACCGTTGGCCAATGTTTGTCATGGTCCTCGGCTTGCAGCTCACATTCCCCAAGGCCCCGTCATGGGCATCCACATCTGCAATTAGCTGGATCAGTGGATTGTGCTCTCCGATGCCACAGCGAGCTGGTCTTCGACTAACACAAAATGTCATAGGTTGGCGTCCTCATAACACCGTGTGTGTGTGTGAACATCTTCAATATACATAGACTGCTTTCTTACTTTTGCATTTGTGCTTACCCATGAGCCTTCAAGCAAGCAGGGCTTTTGTTAGCAGCCATCTCGGCCAGCAGTAGGAAGCTCATGACTATCTCTACTACCCTAAGCCTCCTAAACACTCTCCGGCACCTCCTAAGCGCAAGACTCCTAAACCCTGAGCCCCAAACCGCAAGCCCTAAACCCCAACACCTGCCTTGAAACCCCGAACTCTGAATCCTGAGTGCCCCGGCGTTGATTCACGCCCTCTGAGTTACCTGGCGGGTGGAGGGTTGAGGCTGTATTGCGCGAATTCACTTATGGGTGGGAGGGAATCGGGCTTGGGCTTGCATGTAAGGCGTAAGGTTAGGGGTTTGACCGAGACTGGCACCATAAACTTGAAGGAATATGCTAGACTAGAATGGAACATAGTATTGAACAAGCCTCATCGCAGCATGGGCCAGTTGCACTGGCCAAACCCCAAGACTGTAGCCCAAAACTCCAAGACCCTAACCTACAACTTCGTGTCGGGCGGAAATAGGAGCCCCGAAAGCCCATGCGGTCAATTCTAAGCTATGGTTCTTTCGTGGGTTTAACCTAAATACACGGGGACGCGCTATCCCACAAAGCCACCAACATGTCTGGGGGCTTCTCAAATTTTGGGCTACTCTATTTTGGGGATTCCCAAAAATGAGGGTTATCGCATTTTGGGGTGTCATGTCTAGAGAACTCCCTACTCTCTAAACCCAAACCCTAAACCCTAAACCCTAAACCCTAAACCCTAAACCCTAAACCCTAAACCCTAAACCCTAAACCCTAAACCCTAAACCCTAAACCCTAAACCCTAAACCCTAAACCCTAAACCCTAAACCGACCAGGCTGGCATGCTGACCCATGGGACGCGGGCACCAAACTCTGCCTGCCAGCTCCGCATCGATGGCAGCATGGAGCTCCTTCACCTGCGCTCGGGGGGAGGAGTAGCCCTAAACCCTAAACCCTAAACCCTAAACCCTAAACCCTAAACCCTAAACCCTAAACCCTAAACCCTAAACCCTATTGGGAATAAAAGTGTTCAGGGTTAGGGTTTAGGGTCCTAGGCTCTGAGGGAGGTAGGCTTAAAGCTTCGCCCCGGGCTTCTGAAACTGAGATCCCTGAGCCCTTCTTACCATCTTACATACTAAACCCTAAACCCTAAACTCTAAACCCTAAACCCTAAACCCGAAACCCTAAGCACTAAGTGCGCTAAACCCGCCGCAACCGGGTCGGAAGCCTGTCCTGAGAACTTTATGCGACTGCTGCCAGTAGCTTAGAGGCCAAGGAGCCTCAGTCCCCTTCGAAAGGTTCAGGGTTTAGGGTTAGGGTTTAACTAGGGTTTAGGGTTTAGGGTTTAGGGTTTAGGGTTTAGGGTTTAGGGTTCGGGGCTTCGGATATTCTACGGAGTACTTGAAGGTCGAGGTAGGGCTTATACAGGTCGAAAATCCGGCCTAGGTCGCAACACAAACCTAAACCCTAAACCCCAAACCGCAAGCCTTAACCCTGAACCCTAAACCCTTGCGGCAGGACTTCGCCTCCAGAATGTCAATGCTTCGCAGCTTCTCCTCAGCCCCAACTACCCGGGATTGGGGTTTAGGGCTAAAAGGCTTACAGATGTGGTCTCTAATGTAATATGGCCCTCTCATTTCTTAGGGTTTAGGGTTTAGGGTTAAGGGTTTAGGGTTTAGGGTTTCGGGATGTAAGCCCTGTGCAGAGGGGGCAACACATGCTTCGTTCACTCAACTTACCCTTCCACACAGGCCAAACCCCATGACTGGCATACTCAGCGCTGGAAGAAGTGTTGCCCAACACTTATTGGGCCCTTAAGGAAGGGGGGGAGAGGTACCCAGAAAAACCTTAGCTTAGGGAGTCTTAGGGAGTAGTGGGGAGTATGAGGGAACCTTGGCTTACCCCCTTCCCTTAAGAACCCCCCTAAACCCTAAACCCTAAACCCTAAACCCTAAACCCTAAACCGGATCTACACCAGTTTCAAGCGGGCTTAGAGATCTCTTTCATCCCAGCAGCGGCTGCGGCGTAGACGTCTCGGTCGCTCCACTTTGGTCGCGACAGCCTTCTGAAGCTTGGGCCCAGATCGTTTAGGGTTCAGGGTTTAGGGTTTAGGGTTTAGGGTTTAGGGTTTAAGGTTCCAGAGTTTTTTGGACTTAGAGTTCTTTGGTTTTACTTTCACGCCTGAAGGGAAAACAGAACTGAGGTTCTTGGGCTTTTTTAAGTAGGCCTACACCCTCCTCCCCAAAAACAAAGAGACGAAACCCTCAACCTGTAGATCAATGCATATATACCCACGCATGGAAACATGCATATGTTGTCTTTGTTGGTCGTTATCTCTCTCTGTCACTACATATATGTATATGATATATATATATATATACATGTGTATGTATATATATATATGTATTATGTCTGTGGGTGGGTTGTCTCTGCATCTCTAAAAGCAATGAATATACCGCACGTTCAACCCCTTTCTGCCTGAGAAGGCGCATCAGATCGGGGCTCGTCTTCTCGGGGTCGAAAAGCCCTGCAGGACGGGCGGTTTAGGGTTTAGGGTTTAGGGTTTAGGGTTTAGGGTTTAGGGTTTAGGGTTTAGGGTTTAGGGTTTAGGGTTTAGGGTTTAGGGTTTAGGGTTTAGCGCTTTGGGCTTCGGATGCCGGACTTAGCCGTGATGTCTCAGCGCGAAGCTCCAAAGCCATAACCCCTCGATCCTCTGCTCGAAAACCTCTTGACCCCTAACCCGTATATAACCCTTAAAGCCTACGCCTACGCACTTAAGCCCAGACCGAAGCCCTGAAACACATCTGAAACACATCTGAAACACATCTGAAACCGCAAAGTGGCAGCAGACATGTGCAGATATGAGGGTTTGCTTGCGGAGGTTCTCGGGCAAGCTAGAACATCGCAGCCTTGATTAACATGCAGCGAACGCTGTTTCCAGCAAGGTTGCTGCGATGCGAATGTCCTGAAACTCAGGGTGCCGCTGCTTTTAGATGGCACAATGAGTTCGGGCGAAGGCACCGATCTGATCTCTCGAAGTCTGTGACGCGAAGCCCTAAAGGCCCTAAACCCTTAAACCCTAAACCCTAGGCCCTAGACCCTAAACCTTAGGCCCTAAACCCTAAACCCCAAGAATCGAGGGCCTAGGGCAAGCCTTGCAGTGTTTGCAAAGTCTAGGCTAAGTTGGGCTCGGAGTACAGCCAGAGTTGTGGCGGCTGTTATTTCGTAAGGTTCAAGCCTCAGCGCTCACAGCTTAGGGCGCTTGAGACTCAAGGTCTGGAGTCTGAGGGTTTAGGGTTTAGGGTTTAGGGTTTAGGGTTTAGGGTTTAGGGTTTAGGGTTTAGCGTTTAGGGTTTATGGTTTAGGGTTTAGGGTTTAGGGTTTAGCGTTTAGGGTTATATATATATATATATATACATATCCCTTCACCGGGACGAAGCCCTGCACCCTAAACCTAAACCCGAGACCCTAAACTCGGTATGTTCGAGCCCTTAATAGGGATTGTAATGGGGGGGTACGTACTATAAGCCCTATTAAGGACTGTTACTATAATAATGTAAGTGGGAACATCCCAACCCTAAACCCTAAAACCCTGAATTCCTAAACCCTAAACCCTAAACCCTAAACCCCATGTGCCGCCTTTGGATTGCTGCGCAGGCTCCGGCTTGGAGACGTCGCCGACTCGGCGGACGAAGTCCTCCTTGAGAATGCCTGGGGTTCAGTCTATGGGAAACCCTAAACCCTAAGCCCTAAAATCTGAACCCTAAACCCTAAACCCTAAACCCGAAACCCTAAACCCTAAACCCGAAACCCTAAACCCTCGTAAGGGTTTAAGGTTCAAGGCTCGGTGGTTTGGGAGACTAGGATTTGGAGTGCAGGGCCGAGGTTCTCTTAAGGGAGTGCAGCTACTTTTTGGAGGGGGCTCCGAATTCAGTAGGTCATGGCCAGGTAACCCTAAACCCTAAACCCTAAACCCTAAACCCGAAACCCTAAACCGGAAACCCTAAACCCCAGACCCGGTAGCGCCGCTCGATATGGTCCCGCGTGTTCGGCGCGTGCCATTTTGGAGTTGGATGCCGGAAAACGTGGAAAAAAATCGAGGATTTTGCACGTCCAGCGAATTCCTGTCGATGCTCAAAGTCACCCCTAAGGGTCCAAGTACCCTTATAGCCTTTACTTGGGCCCTAAAGCTACCATATGGGAACCCCTTTAAGGCCCAAGCATACACTAGACAAGTACGTGGACCCTCAGGGCATCACTGCCAACAGCGAAGTGTGAGTTTCAAAGCGCTTGGTTTTTGAATGTTCTTTTTCGGGCGACAACACTGCGCACAGCGTTCTTGTGCTTCTGATGTACAAAAAGGCAAAGATGTGCACAGAGCGGCAAAAAGTGCTGCAAATGCCAGTGTTTTGTGGCATCTTCTCCCAAGGCAAGAACGCTTGTGTCTTGTGTCATAGCAAGTATCAGCGTTTTGAGCATCTTCACCAAGGGCATGAACGCTGGTAACCTTGCCGCAGACGGCTGGATGCTTGACTGGTGCCTTCCTGAAAACGTGGCGTGCGCTCGTAGATTTCACACGATTTCAGAGTTGCATGCGCGGCGCTCATGAAACCACTCAACCTCGAAATCCCGGAAGCTAACCTCTTTGAAGCCTCTAGGGTTTAGGGTTTAGGGTTTAGGGTTTAGGGTTTAGGGTCTAGTTTCCTGCCCAACAAACACACGAATGCTGGAAAAGACCATACGGAACCACCTCTGTTAGTGAACCGGGTTAACCCTACACCCGAAAGGTGATCGACAACAATCCCTAAACCCTAAACCCTAAACCCTAAACCCTAAACCCTAAACCCTAAACCCTAAACCCTAAACCCTAAACCTCTTAATCCCCGCGCTTTGCTTGGCCAGATTGCTGGTTGTACCGTCTGACTTCCACTGAACGCAGAAGCTGCCGTCTGCGTTCCTTGGCTCCGGCCATGTCACAGACAAAGGCTTCAGGCTTCTACAGGGCTTAGGGTTAAGGGATGAGGATTTATGGTTGGTTGAGAGCTGGGTTTAGGGTTTAGGGCTTAGGGTTTAGGGTTTCGGGTTTAGGGCTTAGTGCGCATATGCGGGGGTTGAGCGTTTAGGGTGTATATCGGGTTTAGGGCCTAGGGTCTATATAGGGTTTCCGATTGAGGGCTATTGCACATTTAATTAGCATACGAGGCTGCTATTTAAGTTGCTCTGAAAATATCTCAACAAGCATCCCCCTACATCCAACCATAAGCTTATTGCTCACAGTCCTGAGATTTGGACGATCTTTCATCCATGTCATTCTTCAGGGTTTCGAGGCTGCGGAGTTCAGGAGTCAGGAGCTTAAGGGTTAGGAGCATAGGGTTTAGGCTTTAGGCTTTGGGGGTCGTTTATGTCGGGGTTTAGGGTTTGGAGTCTGGGGTCTAAGGTGTTACGGATTCTGGCTTCAGACGTAGCCTGACGCTACGAACTTCAAGAAGCTCTTGTGGTGAAGGTCCATCCTCCGGGAATAGGGCAGATCATTCATGTGACCCTAGACCCTAATCCTAAGCTGTTCGTGTCTTGGAGTCTTGGGATTTGCTCAGAATACCGAGGATCCTGGACATACCGCTCCACTTTCCTGGTCTCCGCTCTGTAGCTCGAAGGCCCGCTGCCATGTCACCCTGATCCCCCAACCCCAAATCCCAAACCATCAGCCTGACGCCCTAACCACACTAACCCTAAACCTGAACTGAACTTGGAACCCTAGCAACAATGATAATGGTAGTCTACCCTAGACCCTAAAACCCTAAACCCTAAACCCTAAGAAACCTCCAGATCTGCCGGCTAAGCAGCACTCGGACGAACTTTGCCTTCAGCCAGCAGCGGAAGTCTGGCCAAAACGCCTCTGGGGTTTAGGGTTTAGGGTTTAGGGTTTTGGGGGGTTTAGGGTTTAGGGTTCAAGGTTCAGGGTTTAGGGTTGAGGCGTTGACGGCTTGGCAACAAACCGTAGCCAGTTACTTTCGTACAGCTCGCTTTAAGGGCTGACTAGAGGCAGCCTAAACCCTAAACCCTAAACCCTAAACCCTGGCAGTGCAAATGAGCGGAGTGGTCCCAGGGGAGCAGCAAACGAATAATCGTGCAGAGCTGTTAGCTGTCATCGCAGCAGTCCTTTCGGGCACAGGGGGTTATATTTATTCTGCTTCGAAAGTCACAGTGGCAGGGTTTCGCAAATTGCAGCAGAGGGGGTGGTCCTTTTCGGCGTGGTACAAGTACTCAAATCTAGATTTGTGGCATTTTTTGCATCTTGCGTTACAGCGGGCGCCGAGGCCATGGCATATTGTCAAGGTTAGTAGTCACCAGAACTGGAAAACTGCTCCTGATGAGTATCATGCATGGTTGTGGTATCACAATGATGCTGCCGATTCGTATGCCAGAAAAGCTAGGAAAGTCTTTGGGCCACGCGAGCTTGCGGCCAGAGAGAAGGCCCATTGTGCAATGCAGACGATGCGTGCGCAGCAAAAAGCTGTGTATCAACTGCAGCTTGGGGTCGCTAACTGCTTCTGCCAGGTCAAGCGTGCAAAGCATATTTCGGAAACTGCACGCGTTTCTGAGGATATGCTGCAACTCAAAATGCAAGCGCTTGGAATGATGCTTTGTGATGCTGGGATCAGGTTCCCTGGCAGCGACTGCGAGCCTGTTTGACAGCGCTTTTTGCTCTGCGCACCGTTCGGGCAACTCTTGTTTGAGTGGTTTCGTTCTGTCGAGTGGGTTTGGGACCCGGGAGGGTTCTCATTGCTGGAGATGTATTATGCCTTTACCGGCCAGACTGGGTGGTTAGTTCCACTGAATCTGGCCGCTTGGTCTGATGAGGTTAGGCCGGGTGGGTGTAGGGGTGTTAACGTTAAGGCCCTTTGGGTCCACGAAACTCAATACCCGCAGCTAGTGCTGCATCGCCAAGCCTTGACGAGTCAGCTCGTCACTTTTGCGCATGTTGTGCGCGCTCTTTTTGGTCATTGTAATGCCTTTGGAATATCCAGAACATGCCAGCCTTGAAGTTCGTTGGAGTGCCTTGTAAAGTACCAGCAGTGTTATTCCGGCCGAAGTTGCCTCATGCAGCGAAGATTGTACAGAGGATCCATACGGATCTCAGGGGCCGACAGTATAGAATGTTTCTAAAGACCTGCTATGTGGCGCCCAGGGCTCCCCTGATTAGTCAGCTCGAGCACCCTGATCCACTGCAGGCTTTTGCCATGTCAAGGCGATTCCACAGACAGAATTGCTAATTCTACCAATTAGTAATTTATTCTGTAGTTCAGTCACCAAGTGGTTGCTTCGAGACCGTCCGAGTGACTGTTTGCATAAACCCTAAACCCTAAACCCCAGTAGCAAGCTCTGATGTTCTGTCATGTAGCCCGGCATGTGATGCACGAGCTTCGATAATGAAAATTTGCACATTTTTTGGATCTGCTGCCCTCGCCCTCGTGTCCCTGATGCATGCTTTGTGATGCTGATCAGTTTGGGGTTTGTGGCTTAGGGTTTAGGGCCATTTAGGGTTTAGGGTATACATGTCGGAACACTGCGCAGAGCTCAGCCGTCCCGCGACAAGTGCTCACCAAGCCCTACCGAAACCCCACAACAAAACTGCACTGCCCGCCTCAACCGTCGTCCCGGAAGTGGGACAGTCTAGCCTTCAAATGGCACTCCGGGGGCTTAGGGATTTAAGGGCTCGCTTGAGGGGGGTTCAGGGCGATGAGTCCAATGACAAGGTTTCAGGGTTTAGGGTTTAGGGTTTAGGGTTTAGGGTTTAGGGTTTCGGGTTTCGGGTTTCGGGTTTAGGGTTTAGGGTTTAGGGTTTAGGGTTTAGGGTTTAGGGTTTAGGGTTTAGGGTTTAGGGTTTAGGGTTTAGGGTTTAGAAATCAAGGTCAAGGGCTGGAGAAGGGGGGGGGGGATTTCAAGTGCCTCAGTGGAGCCCTTGAGCCTCCCCCTCTTCGGCCAGCAGGGGTGGCTTGCAGTGGGGGGGGGGGGGGGGGGGAGGGCCCTAGATTTTTGGATCTTGGGTTTAGGACGTGAGGACCGTGAGGATCGGTTGGGGGGCAAGGCGGCATGCCCTAAACCCTAAACCCTAGACCCTAAGCCCGAAAAACCTGAACCCTAAACCCTAAACCCCAAACCCCAAAGAAGAACCATACATCTCATAGAAACCATCTCGACTTCCCTGAGCCACCAAGTCCCTAAAACCCTATCTCGAAGGGAGGTTACATGGTCCCTTGATATGGGCCCTGACCCCTATATACCTTATGAAACCAAGGGGCCTATTCTTCAGAGCCCTGCAATTAAAGAAGGTCCGGACCATACTAAGGGACCACAGAACTACCTGTAAACTACACACCTTCGAAGCCCCTGTGTCCTACGCAGCCTTAGGTGGTAAGGTTTTCGAGTTTGGGTTATAGGGGCGTGTTCCCGCAGCATTTTGCAAGCCCCGAAATCCACCAATCAATCCGGACAAACAAAAAAGGAAAGAGCTGCGGCTGTTCTGAATGACGGCAACTTGCAGGTGGCTTCTATCATGGCGCCCTTCTTAAAAAGGACAACCACCCCTCCCCCCCCCCACCCCCCCCGGAAAAAACATAAGGGAGGCCCTAACGCAAACAGCAACCCCCCCCCCCCTCCCCGCCCGCAAAAAAACTAAGGGAGACCCTAACATAAACAGCACCCCCCCCCCCCCCCCGCACCCCCCCCCCCCCGCACCCCCCCCCCCCCCCGCAAAAAAAATCAGGGAGACGCTGACGTAAACAGCACCCCTCCCCCACCCAGCTCCCCTCATGGCACCTCCAGTATGCGTCGTACTGCTTGTCCTTGCCTTTCTCACCTGGGCAGCTCCCCGAACCATTTTACGTAGTCAACACCTCTGCAATCGGAGGTTTGTTCCAAAGTAGGGTCCCCTTTTGAGGCTCTTTTGAGGGGGCTCGCTTTTTTGTAAGGCTCATGGTAGGGTTAGATATGCCTCAGACTGACAGTATCTATGTTTGAAACTCCCTATGACATGTAGTAGTTTCAGTAGAATAGAGTATGAGAACTTCTGTGGCCATGTATGTATGTGAATATATATACATATATATATGTTTGTATATGATGTTATATATATATATATATATAGAGCGTGTATATATACATATGTATTATATTTGTCATTTGCAGTCTGTCCTGCAGTGCAAGCCTGAAAACCTGGACCCCTGTGTGGACAGTTCTTTCATGCCATTTATCGCGGTCTAAGGTTTAGGGTTTAGGATTTAGGGTTTAGGGTTTAAGAGTTGGGGCTGATGTCGGCCGCAGTGCTCACTCTCGCGAGACCACTTTATCGCAAACCCAAACATGCACTACAGGGGGGGGGGAGGGGGGAACGCGAGAGAACATTCCTGGGCGCCCAGGCGCACACTCCATGGTGAGTCTTCGGGTGCAGCAATCGCCACCTGCCGGCTTAAGGCATTTTGCGGGATGAGATGGGATGTTCCCCCCTTAGACTAACAGATCCTTCATAGGGATTTTGTACTAATCAGAATCCATTATAACAGTCCTCAATAAGGGATTATATCGCACCCCCCACTAGAATCCCTGTGAAGGACTGCTGGTATAAGGGGGAACATCCCAATGTGACGAGCGCCGGTGCCGAAGTTCGTCCTGGGAGATGCTGCGCACAACAACACTGGGGCAATTACGATGCCCACATGCTTAGATATGCTTCCACCTTAAACCCTAAACCAAACCCTAAACCCTGAACCCTCCCTAAACCCTAAACCCTAAACCCTAAACCCTAAACCCTAAACCCTAAACCCTAAACCCTTGGAGACTGCCGGCCTCCATGGCTGCAATTGGGCGGAAGCTAAGCTCCGCGAGGAGACATGAGCGGGCGATACTTCAGAGGGATGCCGCTGGACAGCTCACTCAGACTGCACTAAGTCGAAAACCCTAAACCCTAAACCCTAAACCCTAAACCCTAGACCCTAAACCCTAAACCCTAAACCCTAAACCCTAAACCCTAAACCCTAAACCCTAAACCCTAAACCCTAAACCCTTAGCCCTAGCGGGAGTGGAGCACGAGCTGCTCTAAACCAACCCCCAACCCTCGCTTTCTTCTCCGTGGCTGCGGAGAATGCAAGAGCAACGCGCTGGTTCTTAATGCGGTGCGGTTTAGGGTTTAGGGTTTAGGGTTTAGGGCTTAGGGCTCAGGGCTCAGGGCTCAGGGCTCAGGGCTTAGGGCTTAGGGCTTAGGGCTTAGAGCTTAGGCTTTAGGGTTTAGGGTTAGGGTTTAGGGTTTAGGGTTTAGGGTTCAGGGCTTTCGCCTTGACAACTAGCGCAACGAAGCCAAGGTCTTATCGCCTCCTGTCCTATGCCCACCGCAGCCAGATCCACGATGATGCCCGGCTAGGAGGATCCCCACCCCGAAGCCCCACGCCCTAAACCCGAAACCCTAACCCCCTAAACCCCTAAACCCGAAAGGCTGTAAATCACAGCCATACACTGCACCTTCATTCATAGAGAAGCCCCCCCCCCCCTGCAGCCAGACCATGCCTACGGTATGCTGTAGATGACTGAACCCTCGAGGTTGGTTTTGGGCTTTGGGTTGTGGGTTTAGGGCTTCAAGTTTAAAGGTTCAGGGTTTAGGGTTTTGCGGGTTTAGGGACCTGTTAGGAACTCCAGGAAAACTTTCTTGTAGCTAGAAGGTATGACGCCGCTTGCATACAACACACAGGTTCGGGGATCTCAAGGAAGGGGTTGATCGAAGCTGCGCCCGCCATTCTTGGCAACCTAGCTGAAAAGGAGTACGTATACCGTAGTCGCCCAAGCGGACGAGAACCCTGAGCCTAAACCTTAAACCGAAACCCGAAACCCTAATCCTCCAAACCAATCTTGAGCTAGGGAAGGGCGCCATCGCGTGGCGACGTAATCCGTCAGCACCGGGTTCGTGGCCTGTGCTGACGGCTGCGCTAGCCCCAGCATGGCTTGGGGCTTTAAGGGCTTTAGGGCCCTTCGCTTTTGTAGTGGTTTAAAATTCGGGCTGCGAGGTACACAGGGTTTGTGAGGTTTAGGGCTAGGGGCTTCGGCTGTGTTGTGCATCAACCTGGTTGGCTTCGTATTTGGGCTGGATTTTGCGGTGGGCTACCAAAGCTCGACGATGCGATTTGGGCATCTCCCAAGATCGGGGTACCCCGTTTATACCCCAAATAGAATAGAATCCCCTTCAAGGGGAAATGCAAGAAGGTTTAGGGTTTAGGGTTTAGGGTTTAGGGTTTAGGGTTTAGGGTTTAGGGTTTAGGGTTTAGGGTTTAGGGTTTAGGGTTTAGGGTTTAGGGTTTAGGGTTTAGGGTTTAGGGGCTTTGCTTGCAGGTGCCTGATAGGGAACTTGACAACCCAGGGTTCCTCATAGGGGCGTTCAGGTTGGTGCCAAATGTTGTGGTTCTAGTGCCTACATGCTGAGTTCTCAAAATGATCGTCCCTTTTTGGGCACCCTAAATATTAGGGGCCCGTCCTATAAGGACCCCAAAAGGGACCATACTTTAAAGAAGTGAACAGACAGACTTGGGCAGCCTAGGGATAGATCAGCGAGGTGCAGCATGTGCTACCCGAAGGATACTGCGACAGACCTGCTTCAGCAACCAGTCGTGAGCGTGCACGTACCCCCCCCCGCCCCCGAAAAAAAGGCATACGTAGCCTTGTGACCACCACAAAACATGCAGAAACTGACAAGCCTAGCTGCAAGAAACCCCGAAGAACCAAACACCCAAACATCCTAAACCTCAAACTCCGAATCCTCCCTAAACCCTAAACCCTAAACCCTAAACCGTAAACCCTAAACCCCAAACCCTAAACCCTAAACCCTAAACTGCACAGGGAAGTCATGATCTTGGCTCCCGGCGTTGTCTTGCTGCTGAACCACACTCCTCGCCAGTCCGAAGTCGCAAACCTGAATAGGCTTTGGGGCCTTTTTTGGGGTTCAGGGTTCAGGGTTCAGGGTTTAGGATTTTGGGATTTTTGTTGGGGGGGTTCAGGGTTTAGGGTTTAGGGTGGTTTCGGGGTTTAGGGTGTAGGTTTTTTTTTTTTTTTTTTTTGGGGGGGGGGGGGGGGGTTGGAGGGTTTAGGGTTTAGGATGTAGGTTTGTTGGCCGGTTTAGGGCTTTGGGGGGTTTTGGGGTTTAGGGTTCTTTTTTTTCTGGTTTGGGGTTTCGGGCTTCGGGGGGGGGGGGAGGGTGTCTAAGGACAAGGCGCCAGATGAAGCCACGGGTGAGTCAAACTTTGCCGGGAATCCAGCTTGGGTGGGGGGGATGCATCGGTAGCGCGAACTTTTAGAGCTGGGGTTGGGGCTTTGGGGTTTGGGGGGTTGGGGTGTTTTTGTTCTTCTTTTGGGGAGGGGGGGGGGGGGGGTTAGGGTTGTAAACTTAGGGCTTTTCAGGGTTTTAGGGTCTAAAGGTTTTAGGGTTTGGGGAGGGGGGGGGGATTTGCTGGTGACATGGGAGGGTTGTTCTACCGTTACTACAGGGTTTAGGGTTTAGGGTTTAGGGTTTAGGGTTTAGGGTTTAGGGTTTAGGGTTCGGGTTTAGGGTTTAGGGTTTAGGGTTTAGGGTTTAGGGTTTAGGGTTTAGGGTTTAGGGTTTAGGGTTTAGGGTTTAGGGTTTAGGGTTTAGGGCGTCTCGCCGCGCCGCGGCAGTAGATGTCATGCGGAGATGGCGCCCCAACACACCCAGGGGGTGTGAGGGGGCGGCATATGTCGCGGCGGCGTATATTGAAGTTGGAGCCAGCACAACCAGAAAGGTTGGGTTGTTTTATTTTTCCCACCCCCTGCTTACGCAGGCATCCACCCAACTTTTCTCCTTTTAGGGTTTCGGGCTAACGCCCTAAATTCCCACTTCCCACCCCCATCCTTTGAACGGTTGGGTAGGACACTTCCACCCTCATCCTTTGAACGGGTCAGGGTGACCCAGAAAACAGACGGGGGCAGAAGGCCCTTACCTCCGGGACGGGGGGGGAGGGGGGGCGTGAACATTGGGAGGAGCGGCAGCACATGCCTGCCGTGGATGGTCTGGTTGAGCTGGGCAAGGTTGGGGACAGTGACTTGATAGACCGCCTGCTGGGCATGAGCGGCGGTGGCCAAGCTCACAAACAAGGGCAACGCCAAAGTCATACAGGCTCTGCTGAAGGTCATGCCGGGCTTTTTCAGCATTGAGGGCACCGACGACCATCAAGGGACCGTGGACGATGCCTACATGGCACTTCAGGAAATCTTGGAGCCATGTGACAAGCCTGTCCTCGGAGCGCTTGTCGGAATGATCTCAGATCCCAACATTTGCTCAGAGGCATTTGAAGCGGTGGACAGGGCCACCCTAATAATACTTGAGAATCGGAGAAGGTGGGCGGGGTACCCCAGGCGGGGTACTGCGCCGGCACTGGAGGTGCAGCTCACGCTTTAGGCTTCCCCAACCCGACCATCCCCTACCCCCCCCCCCCCACCCCCCCCCCCCCCCCCCCACCCCCCCCCCCCCCCCCCCCCCCCCCCCCCCCCCCCTTCAAGCTGGCTTCAGCTTTTGGGTCCCAACGTTTCACAGAGGCTCAAGCACATCAACTTTTTTGGATTATTTGAGCTGAGAGCGCGTTTAAACCTGTCAACTATGCTCCAGCGGGGTCGGCGGCTTGAGCCGGAGGCTCTTAAATTTAGGTTTTAGGGTTTGGGGTTTAGGGTTTAGGGTCTGGGGTTTGGGGTTTGGAGTTGAGGGGTTTAGGGTTTAGGGTTTAGGGTTTAGGGTTTAGGGTTTAGGGTTTAGGGCTTGGGGTTTAGGGTTTAGGGTTTCGCTTAGCTGGCTGCGTGTGTGTTGGTTCGTGTAGAGGCAACACACACGCAGTACGTGCGTGTCAGCCCCACCCCAAACCACCCAACTCATAAGCTTTAGGTGGATGGTCTGTGGAAATTGCGCAGCCAGGGCGCCGAAGGCGTGGGCCTTCTGCAAGGCGGCCGCGCCGTGACGCTCACCGCTCTGGGAGCCATCTGCGAGCTCTACATGCGGACTCCCCCAAGTGACGAGCGTCACCTGGTGGGCCGGCAGGCCAAGCTGCCACTGAAGATGCTTGGCGGCGCTGTAGGCATCCACTTCTTCCCACAGTTGGGCACCGTGGGTGCAGAGGAAGGCTGTGTTTTCCTCCAGCACCAGATGCGCTGGCGCCGTGGTGTCCGGCAGCTCCGCAGCATCCAGAGGCAGCGCAGCGGAGTTTTCTTGCTGCGTGGCATTGGCTGTCGCCAAAGCTGCATGATCCTCCTCGCGCGGCCATCGGTACTCAGTAACGAGCCAGCGGCGCAGCGAGGTCGAGGAGCAGCGTGCCTTGGCCCGGCGGCTTCGTCGACGCTGGAGCAGCAGCAGCAGCAGCAGCAGCAGCAGCAGCAGCAGCAGCAGCAGCAGCAGCAGCAGCAGCAGCAGCAGCGCAGACAGTGCCACTGTTAGCAAGGAGCGGTGCATGGCGGCCACAAAAGAGAAAGACACGACTACGGCACTGTGTTTCGGAGGAGATACTCTTGCTGGCCTGTTGCATGCATGAATTGCTGCCGTGTTCATGCTCATCGGTTTGATTGTCGCAAGGCTGCGCAGAAGTAGAAGCTCGCGAGACAAGCGAATGAACTCTGTGACTTCTGCTATTCTGTGTGCGCATTCCACACTGCAATGTCACCCGCTCCGTGATTGCTCAAGTAAAGACCCCATTGACATCTTCACAGCTTCTTCCTTCACTACATGTCGTGCTGAAATCGTGTGATATTATCACGTAGTCAAAAAACTGCAGAAGCAAGGGAGGGAGAGAGAGAGAGAGAGAGAGAGAGAGAGA